ACCTGACTTTGTTTTAGACAGGTGATAAAGCATGTACCTGACTTTGTTTTAGACAAGTGATGAAACATGTACCTGACTTTGTTTTAGACAGGTGATAAAACATGTACCTGACTTTGTTTTAGACAGGTGATAAAGCATGTACCTGACTTTGTTTTAGACAAGTGATGAAACATGTACCTGACTTTGTTTTAGACAGGTGATAAAACATGTACCTGACTTTGTTTTAGACAGGTGATAAAGCACGTATCTGACTGTGTTTCTGACAGGTGATAAAGCATGCACCTGACTTTGTTTCAGACAGGTGATAAAACATGTACCTGACTTTGTTTTAGACAAGTGATAAAGCATGCACCTGACTTTGATTTAAGCAGGTGATGAAACATGTACCTGACTTTGATTTAAGCAGGTGATGAAACATGTACCTGACATTGATTTAAGCAGGTGATGAAACATGTACCTGACTTTGATTTAAGCAAGTGATGAAACATGTACATGACTTTGTTTTAGATGGGTGATAAAACATGTACCTGAATTTGTTTTTGAAATGTGGTAAAGCACATAGATGGCTTTGTTTTAGACAGGTGACAAAGCATGTACCTGACTTTGTTTTAGATAGATGATAAGAAAAGTATCTGACTTTATTTCAGAGATGACAAAGCACATACCTGACTTTGTTTTACAGAGGTGATAAAACATGTACCCAACTTCATTTTAGACAGGTGATAAAGCACTTAAATGACTTTGTTTCTGAAAGATTATAAAGTATGTACCTGATTTTATTTTAGACAGATGATAAAGTACTTACCTGACTTTGTTTTAGAGAGATGTCAATATCTCGTTTTATATGTGGTAACCACATCTTGATCTCATCTACTGTATGAAGATTTTCCTACAATAAACATTTATTGTGAATTAGCATAAAATTATTCTAGATTAATAACTTATACATTTATTTTTCTCGGTAGTTTTTTGTTGTAAACATAAAATATATTTTTTATAATTTGCATAATTTTATAATTTTCAAAAATATTGAAACCTACAAGGTTTTACAACTTTTATGTAAAAACAAATTACAAAAGTCTAAAGTTTTAATCAAAAGTATTTCCCAAAGTAACAATAATAGTCTGTGTTTTGGTTATTTACAATCAAAGTAACATTTAGTCTGAGACTGTCAATATTTTCTAATCTGTTTAACTGTTATCAAATTATAAAAATCCATGAAATCCATAGTGCACCACTTCTTATGCTCAATGCATAAACAGCTAATTATTATTTTTATAAACAACTTCATAATCTGAACCTTTCTTCAATAAATGGCACAGTTTTATTCACGCAATAATCTACCCCTTTTTTTTTTCAAATACAACATTGATTAACCTAATCACAATTTGTTTTTTTTGGGGGGGGGCAGTAAATTATACTAGTATGCAACCTACTTCTAAAATACAATCCTACAGTCAATTGACCAATGCCTATGTTTCTCATGACATTTTCACAACGAGACCCAAAACACGAGCATTTTCGATTGGTTGACTATTCTTCTTCGGGAAAATAAATGGTGATAAATACCCATTAGTTATACATCCTTTGTATAAAGTCCCACTTTAACTATCACATGATAAAATATTGTATACTATATATTCACTATTAAATTTGAAGTTCCAAAAACAAAGCAAACACAATTTAAGTATATTTACAAAATCTTACCAGTCTTGGACGTTTTGGGTGTTTTCTCTTTTTTTCTAGTAAAAAGAAAACAACATACAAAAAGATTTCAGTTACCAAAACTGCATAAATATTATTACAGTTGACAATATTACACATTACCACAGTTGACAATATTACACATTACCACAGTTGACAATATTACACATTACCACATTTGACAATATTACACATTACCACATTTGACAATATTACACATTACTACAGTTGACAATACTACATATTACTACAGTTGACAATACTACATATTACTACAGTTGACAATATTACATATTACTACAGTTGACAATATTACATATTACCACAGTTGACAATATTACATATTACTACAGT